CCCAGGGCTCGCGGCCCAGCTCTGCCCCATGCTGCCAGATGTGCCCTGGGAAATCAGGCCCGGGAACCAGTTTCTCAGGTGTTTCTCCCCTCAGCCATGCAGAGAGGCCCCTGGGATTTCACCCGCACTCGCACAGGGGAGGTGCCCAACTCCTATGGGCTCTAGTGGAAGTTAGGGGCCCAGCTGCTCAGGGGCTTCTGAAAGTCCCGCCAGACACCTGTGTGACTCACCGGGCACCTGCCCAGCTCTGAGCGTCTGGCCCAAGGGGTTCAGACACCAGGCCCAGGCGTGCGGCTGGTGTCAGTTAGGGAGGCTCCGTGAACGTCCAGGGAGCTGGGACTCGGGCCCTGAGTCTGTGACGTCTCCCATGGCAACCAGCTCCCAGCGTCCCCAGAACCCCCCCCTGCCCCTGGGCTCGCGCAGGCTGGGCTGGGGGACTCTGCTTGGCAGCAGGAGGGGGCGGCCACAGGGACCGGGGCAGCGGGGGAGGCACCTTCACTTCCTGCGCCTGTTCTCCACCATCCACGTCCCTCTGGGATCCTGCCATTCTGCTCAGTGCAGCTCCCCCTGCCCAGGAACCCGCCAGCCCCCCAGGAGCAGATCCTGGGGCCTCAGGGACCCAGCTGGGCCTTTCCACGCCCCTCCCCACACCCCCAGACAGTGAGAGAGGAGCCCCCAGCAGCGCCGCCCCGTACCCAGGAATCCCGTCACGGCCCCCTGGAGACTGTTCTCTCCTGGGAAGTCCCGGATTCTCCGCTCCAGCTCCGGCCACTTGGGCACCGGATGCGGCGACGTCGCCTCCTCGCCCCTGCAGAGACACGAGGGTGTTATTGGTCTCCTGCCTCGGCCCCCCCAAAGCCAGACACGGAAGCGGGTGGGGGCTGGGCCACAGGCAGAGCTCACAGGACCCAGACCTCGGCTGCCCAGGGAGTTTCCTGCCGGCACAACCTGCTGGGCCCAGCCTGGGGCATCTCTCCAGCCAGAGGGAAAACAGCCCAGGGAGCGCCAGGCCCAGCTCCCGCACACCCGGCCTGGCCCATGTGCCCCAAAGGGGCCTGGCTGGGCCGCTCCCAGGGCTGAGAGAGGGGCCTGTTCTCCAGGCCCAGCCGCTCCTCAGCTTCTCCGCTCAGCCCCCAGGGGTCAAGTCACTCCCCATGGGATGGAGGCTCTGGGATGGGGACACTGCCTCACCTGGGTCTGGCCTGGGACACTTGGCTCTTTCCCCACAGGTCCCCCCCATGGGCTATGTCAGGTCCTAGTTGGACCCTTGGGGTGACAGGCCTCAGCCCTATTAATATTTCCCTGAGGCAGCCCAGCCCCCAGGGATGGTTCCCAGCCCAGAGCTGTGGGGCAGTCCCCTCCCAGGGTGGCTGACACCCCCACAGTGCCCTCGGGTGATGGGTACAGAGGGGGCAGGGTTCACTCCCATCATGGGGGGCTGGGGCTGGATTCACAGCACAGGCTCTGAGCCTGTTCCTAGCATGATGGGAGGTGAGGGGTATATGGAGCCTGGATGTACCTGCTCTTGGCGTTTCTCACATGCTAGAGGGGAAGGAGAAAGAGCAGAGAGTCAGTGCCCATGGCCCAGCCTGGCCCCCTGCCCCAGAGGGGTCATGCTGCTTCCCCATCCCACAGGCTGCTCCCTCAGGTGGGAGACCCACTGAAGGGCTGTGCTAGGGGGAGCCAAGCCCCTTTCACACCAGCTGCTTTGCAGGGGGGCCAGGCCCAGCTTTTCACCAGCCTTCCCAATGACCCAAACTCCTGTCTCTCTGCAGCTGTGGGACCCCGGCCCTGCAGCTACCCTGGGCCTTGCTCCCTGCCCTGAGTTACCCTGTGAGCCCCCAGTGACTCAGGGGCTACCCTCCCTGCACTGGGCTCCGGGTGCGTCTGACCCCGTCTCACCTGCAGCAATTCCAGCACCGGCTGCTGACACTTCTCCTCCAGCTCTGAGATCAGGGTGCTGAGCCGGGAAATCTCCTCGCCCAGGCGGGTGGCGTGTTCCTCCCTTCTCCTCTAATCTCCTCGTCCAGCTCCCCCAGCCGGGCCAGCAGGAGGCGCTCTCGCTCCACCAGGAACTGCCGCAGCCGCTTGCACTCCCAGCCCACCAGCTGTCGCTCCACGTCCGTCTGCCTCTGGGGGCGCAGAGCGGGCGGGGCCGAGTCGCGGGTGAGTGGGGCCGTGAGAAGTGGCAGGGCCTTGTCCGAGCTGCAGGGAGCGTTTCACTCGGTGTCTTTGCCCGGCCGGCTGGGCCTGGCCCAGGGCTTGTCCCAGGGCAAAAATGTCACCGAAAAA